AATGACCTGCAGTCTTAGATGCTATTGGTACCATGTGTGATGGAGAATGGTCTGGTAGTCGTAGATACTGTTGGTACCATTGTGTGATGGAGAATGGCCAGGTAGTCGTAGATACTGTTGGTACCATTGTGTGATGGCAAATGGACTGGTAGTTTTGAATACTGTTTGTACCAATGTGTGATGGAAAATGACCCTGCAGTCTTAGATGCTATTGGTACCATTGTGTGATGGAGAATGGTCTGGTAGTCGTAGATACTGTTGGTACCATTGTGTGATGGCAAATGGCCTGGTAGTCCTGGTTACTGTTGGTACCAATGTGTGGTGGCAAATGAACTAGTAGTTTTGAATACTGTTGGTACCAGTGTGTGATGGAGAATGGCCTGGTAGTCGTAGATACTGTTGGTACCATTGTGTGATGGCAAATGGCCTGGTAGTCCTGGGTACTGTTGGTACCAATGTGCGGTGGCAAATGGACTGGTAGTTTTGAATACTGTTTGTACCAATGTGTGATTGAAAATGACCCTGCAGTCTTAGATGCTGTTGGTACCAGTGTATGATGGAGAATGGTCTGGTAGTCATAGATACTGTTGGTATCATTGTGTGATGGCAAATGGCCTGGTAGTCCTGGTTACTGTTTGTACCAATGTGTGATGGCAAATGGCATGGGAGACTAGTGGAAAAAGACTGCTGACTTATGTACAGAGCCAATTTGTTTTGTGGGCTAAATCACGATCACGATGTTGAGGGACTATAGCTAAATAAATCATACTGTGTCGGTACGAGGGAGAAATTGGGTGTTTGTCTGTAGAGGGCGCTGTAGATGTGTATCTCTAACAGGGCTTTTCCAAGTTATAATCGTATTGTATACCATTAGTTCACATTATTTTGTTTTATTAAATGTCTATGTCAGCTGATGTATTCACCAGTCGGATGCAGCTACATTGAAACAAGAATAATTGTTTAATGATGATGTGTGTGTGTGTTTTTGGCGGGGTGTGATAATATCTTAATTAAAATTGGATCAAAAGGTCATATCACCATTGAAAAGAAATAATGATAGCTTTTTTTTTAATTCTTTAAAAGTAGTAACGGTTGACTTTGGCATTCAAGAGAAACAGGTCGATTTATTACGATTTATCATGATTTAAAAATTGTACAAAGGTCTTTGGCAGCCTGACCTTGACTTTTCAAGTATTTTCAACGTGTGTGAAGTAAGTTTGCTCATTGTGTCAACTGCCGGGGTTATCTGCTGTTAAAATACTGCAGCGGACGAGAATGGTCGACAGCACCGGGACGTTTAATGTCACAGTTGTCTCGCCTGGATATTTATTGCTAATTTGTCGAACACCGAATCGTGTTAGATATGGGACCCATAGCATCGTATATATACTACTAGTACATTGTAAAATACTGTACATTGTTTGTTTGTTTGTTTGTGCAAAATAAGAAACGTGCAGTGCGACGACTGTAACGCTCCGAGATAGAATTTGTATTCAGCACTTGAGCAATACAGTCATTGGATCGTTAAAGCGCGGTGGTCGTCGCGCAGCGAGTGTTCAAATTTCATGTAAATAAACAATGTATTTTACACGCGTTGTATACTTACGTCGCTATGAGTCCCGTATCAAACAGGACGCAGAACGACGACTACCGCCCTTTAAGAATCCACCAAAAATGTCTATAGTTTCGTTGACAATTTAATTGGCCGAAACGTGTATAGAAAAGCGACACAATTTTATTACACCAGAGAGTAGTCTCGGGTCAGTGACATGGATCGAACACTTACCATAGTAACAATCAACATCATTTATTTTTCATTTCTGCGTGCCTGTTGAATGTTTAATAAACGTAAATGAGAACAAAGATGTGAGGTTGCGACAACAGACATGAACATTTATTTATATACTATTCGTAGAAGGGTTAATTATTCACTGGGTTTTTAATTGTGCTTATTTCGCTGACTGGAAAATGAGCTAAATTAAAACCCAGTGAAAAAATTAAAAATTTAGCATAGAACACATTATCTAAATGATAAAACCGTGAATTTAAAACCTACTGAATATGCCTGAAATGGTAAATCAGCGAAATTTAAACCCAGTGAAAATTAGTCATTTTACAGCATACATTACAACGCGTGTACACTGAATATATTGTTCGTTTACACAATCATAAATAAACAATAAATGTTCCCGATTTTGAGAACGTTCAGACATTATATTACTAAAGGATGTGTCCGAATAGAATTCGTTATCGAAAAAAATGGGAAATCAATATAATAACAATATTTTATAATTTGTTTAATGCTGTGGTCGATAATCGCTTTGTTGCGCGACTTCTCGTGCCTGGTGCGGTACGACGAATGTAACACTTTAACATCCGTTATACCCCAATAGTATTAGATTCGACAAATCATAGCCAATGTTCAAGCTAAACTCTGGATAAAAAAAATCATCTTTCCGAGCATTGCATGCTGGGATCTCACATAACGTTTATGGTGAATATACCCACGTGACACGCACCTTGTGTTTTACCATTTCATTAAATTACAACTTTTAAAGCCGCTTTCCAAATAACTGTTGCGTTCTTTTATTTAAAACTATTAATTATTAATCGAAGATTTAATGGTTTATATCATGCATGTTCAAGGTTTCACGACATTGGAGCTGCTATGTATACTAGTGCAATGATTTTCTATCAAGATACTAACATTCCACTGAGTGGTTTTCTCAGTCCCGGTGACAATATTTATTTATTTTTTTATTTTTTGAGTTGTTTTTATTCTTGACACATACACTCAATACTTATTTTACGTTTTTGACACTAAATTCGGGTTTCGAAAGTGCCAAACGTGCACTCAGACAAGTATGTACATAATGTGACGCGCGACTAAAAATGTGTGTATTACTTTCTAATAACTATGACTCCATCATGTATAAATATTCTACTGCTAAAAGTTAGATAATAACTGTAACTTTGATCCAATACTCGCGAAATTGTCAACAGGTGGCGCCCTTGCGAGTTGAGGTGCGCTCTATACAGACCAAAGAGGCACTTTTTCTTCTTACAAGTATACAATGTTACTACAGTAACGGCGATGTATATTGCTAAATATATAAATATACGCGCCTAAACTGAATGTTTTGATTGTTGTTAGTGCCATGGCTTCAGTTTCCCACGCAATTTGCCTAAATAATAAATAAATACAGTTGTTCATTTTCTCAACAAAATACAAAAGGTATACATTTGTCGGCGTTACTCTGAATAACCCTCACATTTGTAATGACACTCGTCTCATTTACGATGATTGGGATCACCGTGTTTTCTGAAAATTCATGGATTAGAATTAAGAAAACTTCTAAATTCAGTGACAATGGTTTGTATGAGCACGATATTAGATTAAAAATATGCCGGTTATATCTAGATATTTAATTGGAATACTGATTTTTAATTCAAACAAGCAATACAGTGATTCATTTTTAATATTTTTGGTAAACAACGGGATTTGTATAATCTAACACCACGTGGTGTATTGATATATCTCCAAACTTCTAACTTTAGTTATTGTAGCAATTCTGCAATTGCGACACCCGCACACAACAAAACAAACACTATTTCGAAAATGTGGTATTAATGTGATAGTTTTTCCAATACAAAATATCCGTTTTTGGTGCGTGCTCAACAATCAAAATACCGAAAATACACAGAATTATAACAAACATTATAATTTAAACAATATGTAGAGAGACTCTACCAGTACCACGGTTATTTGCTTAAAAACTTTGTCTATGGGTTTGTGAAATGTGTACGGCAATTTGATTGGCCGAAACCTCCGTTAAATCCCTGCAGTCTGTGGTCTGTGTCAAACATTGTCACGTGATTGTCACGGCACGCAGACCATTCGCGTTCGTTATTTACATGCCATAACCATCATGTGACCATGATTTCATTTTTACATAGATATTGAGACAACTTGAAACAATGCAATCACTTTTTATAAGAAATAATTGTCAAATTATCAATGACAGACACTATCTTGATGGGCGTATTTACTCTTTGCTCATATCGAAAAGAAGATATCTTCAAGTTGCCATATGCGTGGTCACCTAAACCGAAGACGAAAATATAAGCAAAATGATGAAACACCATACATAGATTCCTTGTAGACAAAGATAAATACTATTTAACATAAAATGTCATTTTCTCTGTGGGAAATTTGGCTAATTTTATTAAAATATAGTTTCTAACTTCTAAATATCCGAATGAATGAATGAATGAATGAATGAATAAATGAATAAATAAATACCTAAATACAGATATGTGACTTTTAAGGATTATATGAAAAAAAATATTTCAGTCAAAATAAAAATTAACCAAAATAAAAAAAATAAAATAGTTTTAATTTTCCATAAATTCATCATAAGTCTGAAAAGTCGGATAACATTTTTCAGCGCGTTTTTGGTAATGTAATAGCTTCGGCGACCCTTCCAGAAAATGTCATTGCATGGCAACCATATCTCGTTTACCGGTATGTTAATGCTAAAATGCTAAACTAAAATTAAAATATGCGAGTGCGTTGGTGGTCAATAACTATAAACAAGCAAAATGGCGGAAACATTTCAGTAACACACGATCTCATTCGATCGAGTATTTGAGCCAGCGCATTTGATTGGTTCTTTTTTCGTCACGTGATATATGTTGCTATGTGCCAGCGATTCAGCGGTTAACATACATTGTGATAAGTGAACCCGAACTCTAGCTGTCCAAGTGTTTCCATATCGTTGCCGTTTTAACCCGTCGTTCCGTACCTGGTAAGTATTCTAGTCACATGTCATCAAAGTATGCTGTCATGTATGTTGTTGAATATCTATTCACCGGAGTCATATCGACACAATCACAGAATTCGGGAAAGTACTGTAAGGAAGGGATCGGGACCGATCAGCTGTTCCTGCAGCAAAGCGACATAAGCCCTGTGCATGTACCGGCTGGGTATTGTATTACGGTGTGGTTAATTATTAGTTGTCAAATACTAAGCGTGTTTTAGTGTTTGCTGTGAACGATTTGTCAATCGGCTGTCAAGCCTCCTCTTTCCACGTGATTGAATGTTTATTTTTGGACGTCTTGAATAATTTTGAAACTCAAAAAAAAAAAGTTCGGTAACACAGCACAGCGGTCTCAGTCCCCGTTTCATTCTACTCTTGTTGTCGTTTGCAGGTTGCAACTCCAGGATTTCACAAACAAATCATTTCACATTTGATGTCATGTTTTGGTATTATCACTATCCAAAGTAATTTCTAAGTATTACGCATATTGACACCTAGCTAGTACTGTAGTTGCAGAAGTCGCGAAACATATTGTCAAAACACGCACAATCCTTCACCTGTAATTGGAATCTGGCTTGTGATATAATAATGTGTGTAACCCCCACCTGGCAGTGTTTTGTTCGTTTGTTATTGTCCGGTGATCAGGTTTCGGTATGGTTTGTTAGTGTGCACGAACTGGACCAAATGCAGTAAATTTGTCGCTCTTATTACTTTTTGGGATATTTACCAGTCCATGGAGCTAAAAAAAGATCTTTTTTAGCTCCATGACCAGTCCTACAATTGATTTGGGGGAGGGGGTTCAGAGATTGTCAACTTGTTATCATCACCACTGGGACTCACCAGCTACAATCTAAATCTGTAATTGAAATTCACTTGCAGTTTGGTGTTGGTCCAAGTTGACTATTTCGATTGTATTTTTATAATAATAATATTTCACACCACACTTTTGATAACCCTAAATAGGAACCTATTGTGCATTACATTTTACATTGGCTGCAATGAATTTTCTATTTTATTTTATGGCTAACCATTAAGACAGTGTTATCATCATCATCGATGGAGAGTTAAATTAATTAATTAATTTAACATTGTTCGTTAAATCATATTGCTTGAAATTGTTTTACCTGATCTATGTTGTTGATTGCTTTTGATGAACGAGTATGACATAGACCAAATGCAACAATAATGTGTTTTGCAAATAGTCATAAATGACCATAGATTGTAGTTCCGATTGTCTTTTGTAGCATTTTGGTGCACCATCTAGTCGCTTGAATCAATGTTTTGTACATAGGATTTTCCCACCTATAATTCACATACAGCATTTTCAATTAATATTAATTTTGCGATGTTTTGCGATGAACACCTGTCTCTCATGTTTTCCTTTACTAGTTCAATTTGGCTGTTCCTCCTGAATTTACATGACAGTATATCTTAACATAACATGCATGTATTTTGCTCTTGTGTTTGAGAGAACTTTGAACATGGAACATTTTGTTAGTTGAATTGATCAAATTTTGAAATAGGATAGAATTCAAAATCATGTTGCATAAAAAAGTTAGGCAAATTTATTCCCAGTTGAGACCCAGTGTAATGTGTGTCCTCAAAGAAATTCAGAAATCTTGTATGAATGCCTATGTACATCAACAGATTTTTTTTTATTCAATTTTATTTTTTATCAAATTGTTTTTGAAATGCATCAAAGCACAACTATTAAGTATTGGTACCAACTGCCTACTTTTATTTTCAGACACAGTTTGTTTTAGTGTATTTTCGCTTCCATTGTTTCGATTGATTGACTGAGTAAACCGGTAGTTCACATCTAGCAGATATCAAAACATTATTGTACTCTAGCTTTCAGTTTTGCAGCAGTCTCTTTTTTTCTTTTTGACCCTTGCTAAAAAGGGTAGCATTGTACAAATGCTAACCATTAATTTTGCAAATTCCAAAATGTGAAACCGACTGTAACAAATTAGAAGCTAGTCAACTGAATTTATATTATATGGCAGTGTTTCCTTGTGTTGAGGACAATAACGTGGTGAAATTATTATGGAGATGGTATGTTGCTATAGCAACAATGAAAAATATACATAGCGTTAACAGTGTATGACTTTGTCAGACTTGTATGTTTGGGTTATTATTATAATAATAATTGTGTAGCACATCTTGGTTGATTACAGTTTAGTCTACAAGGTTGAGTAACATCTGCTGTTTCACTATTATTTTATTTTTTCAGTGTGAACTAATTTGAATAATAGTTTACAAGGCCAAAAATGTCATTTTTGTTTTGCGAAGTGAACAAATACTTGTCAGGAAATAATATAATTTATTACACACATTGAGAATCTTCTCATGAGTGATTCTATAAATATCGAATGCAATTTATTGAATCACGATGTTTTATCACGATGTCGATTTGCTTAACCTGAAAGTCAAAAGAGCAGTCCATATATTTATTGAGATTTATTTCACATAATTGGAATTGTGATACTAACAAATATATTAGAAGGTATCATGGAATAAATAAAGATATCCCATGCAACAAACTTTTGTACACCTAAAAAAATGTTGTATCCTTATTTATCATCTTAAATACACACTGTAAGGTGATATCATGATTTTTGATAAATATTGATAACACCAAGAAGAAGAAAAATAACTAAATAGCAAGCACTTTTCTTGCTATCATTATTTCCGAAAGAAAATTGTTATTACAAATAAAAACAAATTTAATGGCTTTAATACGCACAAATTGTAGGATATATTTGTGTATTGTTTCTAAATGCAGCCTGTCGCTATAATTTAGAATATACATTCTAGATGAATTATTAATTTGTGCAAAAAACAAAAGCATTAGCGAATGAAATTCATACAAGTAAATGGGAAGCTGAAATGATCGCCAATATTTGGACATACTGAAAATCATTGAAAATATGACATTTAGTACATATTTCCTTTCAGTTTGCACAAATTCAGATCAACAATGGTTTCTTTTAACAGCCTGAAGCCCCCTTATAAATAAAGCTAATGATCTTAGAGTGCAAGTTTAAACATTCTCGTAAATATATTTTATTAAGCTGTATTGTACGAGTATGTGCACTATATGATGTGTTGTCAATCATTCAATAATTTCATTCGCTGTAGTCTTCTTTTAGTACAATGTCAGTAATGACATGTTATCAATTCTTATAAACATTAGTACATAATACTCAACTCATTGAAGTTACATGGCTTCCCTGCACACAACTAAATTATACATTCTACTTACTGTAATTGTAGTGATTATTCACTGGGTTTTAATTTCACTATTTTCACTGATAAGTAAAATTCGCTAAATTAAATTCACATGTAAAATAACAATAAAACTCATTGTTTCTTTGACAAATTTGTGAAATTAAAACACAGTGAATATGCTCATGGCATTAAAATAGTGAAATTAAATGTTGGTGAAAATAAATGATTTTACAGTACCCATCATTCAACCAAAGTGCATGAACAACCACATGTATTGCCTATGCATTTGGTTTAAAGCTGTATTGTCACATCTATTTGGTAATAAACATTCACTTCCTTGTTTGTTGTGTTTAGTATGCACCCAAATTCAAAACAACATAAAACTGCATGACAGATTTTATTGTAGTGAAGATGAAAAATATATAAATAATTACCGGTATATTATTGATAAATGACAAAATATTTAAGGTTTAGACTTGAAAAGCCTAAGAACTTCATAGCTTTTCGACAACACTAATTTAATAAGGAGAACACAAGGGCTTGAACTTTAGTATTCTTGGGACAGCCAATTTCAAGATCAAAATTTACAAATTTTCTTATGATGTAAGTTTTTCATTATTTTGCATCAAGGCATTCAAAAAAGACCGCAAAGCAATTGCCTTGATGGCCCTTGTAATTTTCAGGCACCACAAACACTGTATACGCATGATGTAACAATTATATTGTGCAAGTTAGTATATCTCACAAAATTCTTGAATTGACTCACCACTATGAATAGATATACCGGGGGTAGATAAATCATCTAGTATCGTTACAATGACTAGTCTGGTACCAGGTAATAGTCAGCTGAGTTACAGAACATATATTGCCATGAATTGGTTGCTATGTCACTATGTAAACTATCCTTATATCATTGAGGTTTTATCGTTATTCCCTAGTTACCAATATATGACCATTGAACAGCAGAGAACAATACCGTATATATCTATATATATTTGATATTATATATATAGAATATAATGTACGTTTGTCCACATACCTTACCTTAAAAATATTTTTAAAATCTATGGTTGTTTGATTATTACAACACTTTGTTGTTGTTGAATTGCTAATATAGAAGTAAATTGCAGGATACTATGTCTTCTGGAATCATAACTGGCTGGAATGTATTTGAGAATGTTATGGCTATAAATTTACCTATTAATATCTTTAATACATTGGTAAACCCATGGACCCTACAATCTACAATCACCCTACACAAGGATTTATGAAATCTAAATAGCATAAACACTACAATCAAAAGTTTATGATGAATTTGCTTAAACATACCACTGCAGTGTGAACTTTTTATTCAGTCAATAATTGTTGATAATGAACATGCTTCTCTTCATAGCAATCTTCACAATCATGTAGAGATAGTCGTCCGATCTTAGTATGATCACAATATCAATAATGGTGTTAAATTCAATGTAAACTTTGGCGGTAGTCTTGGCATGTGAACTGTGCCTCAGGTAAGCCTACCTTACAAACTCTTTTGTATTGTTGGTAAATTTTTGTTTGAAACGTTTTAAAAAGTTGAGTACCGGTAATACATGTGTATTGACATCTGTGGTATTCACAAGATAATCAATTAACATAATCTTAACATCACTGAGCAGTGGATTCAGTTGTGAATGAGTTTTCAGCATTTTAGGGTGTCATCAAGTCACTGAGTCGCACATGGATACGCTGTTAGATAATCAAAATTGACTACTGTAAAATACTTTATTTTCATTTGGAATTCATTTTCTCTATTTTCGCTGAAGAGAAGATTCAGTGAAAATAAAATCCATTCAATATACTGTTTCTTTGTCTTATATTTTACATTCATCTCACCAAAAATCAGTGAAAATGTCTTTTCAGCAAAAATAAATTCCAGCTATTAAAAATAAAGTATTTTATAAATCCCATATTCAAAGCAATAACCTCTAAGATTAGTCTAAGATACCTATCTCTTGAGTTTTTTCCAGAGTAGCTATTTGAATTTAAAGGACTCAAATATTACACACTTTCTAGATTATTTGTGTTTAGCGTCCAGCTGACAGCAATGCATGTTGGGATTTATAACAAAGACAATTTACATTTGATCAGTGTAATTTGCAAGTGCCTTATTTTTCAGATTGAATTTTTTGCCAACAATAAAACTTAAAATATATTGCTGCCAGATGATGCACACTGACTGTTAATAAATAAGCCTAACAGATGGCAAAAATTTGGGTTGACAATATACCGGTATTTCTGTCATTTGTGTCCTTTTTATTGACATCTTTAACAAGGCAAAATAAAAGACGTTTTACCAATTTACCAATACCTAATTAATAATGACTTCAACATACAGATTCTTTAGTTAGAATGGAAATATTAGTGTTGTATCTAAGGACCTTGAATCAGAGTACTACTGTACATTGATATCAGTAAGGCATCTGGGCGTGAGAATGAAGGTGGTAGGGGAAAAAATAGAGTGGTTGTTTAAAAAACTTGTATACCGGTAAATGTATTTATTTCCTTTCTTAAAATACATGTATTGGAGGTACCTACATGTATTATAAAATTAAAATAAAGGGAATACAGGAGCTCAATGCAGACGGACTATTATTGCTACAAATGCAGTGCGCGTAGGGCCCAGTGCACAAACAAATACCAGTTCTGAATGGTTTTGATAATAAATAATGATCTGGCTTGTTTCGGTATTCATGTCTGTTTTCATGTTGCCATTTATTACTGAACAATTATGGCAGTTTTGATACTCCTGTTTAATTTTCAAACTCTTTATTTTTTAAATCCCCTTATACCTGGTAGGTACAATGCATAATCCACTAACACATACCCCCAGTAATGTATGACAGGGTAATTTACACCAATATAAGCAGTCTAATAAAAATGATTCATGTAATTCTATTGTACCATTTTTTTTAGAACTGAGTTATCGTCACCGATGCTAAATAATAAACGAATTGCATAAAATAGTAGTAAAAAGTGGTTCACAAAAATTTATTAATAATGATGCCTTGTCATTAAATTCTATATAATTATTTAGCGCAAAATATTCATGAAATATAATATAATTTAAATGGGTATAATTTAATGTATTTGTATTGTTATGTGACCTGCCACTGTCACATTGTGTACAAGTACAGGTGTGTACCTTGATCCTTTGTATGCTGTGCTAGTAGCAACCGCGTTATGAGGGAATTCTGTTGTTTTCTTAGGACATGTACCTGCCTACATACCTATGTATCTATGCACATTTCTTAACAAAGAACCTCTCCTGCATTACTCATACAGATTTATTCAAATACATCTGAAAAAATTCAACAGTAGCTCAGGACACCCAGTATCTGCTACCCCGGTAATACTTGGAACGAAACACTGTAGGGATGTCATGACGAAATTATTGGTTTACAAAGTTGTTTGGATTATTATAAAATACTTTTAAGCTTAGATGTTTGATTTACATTTGTATATAAAGAATTTTACAAAAAAAATAGGTTTTTTGATTTATATGAAATTTGTTATAAGCTTATGTGTTCATTTCATGTAAAGAATGTTCTTAAGCAAGAGCATCATGGAAAAGGTGTATGGTTTAGGGACAGTCTTGCATTGTCACAGAACCATGGAAAAGGTGTATGGTTTAGGGACAGTCTTGCATTGTCACAGAACCATGGAAAAGGTGTATGGTTTAGGGACAGTCTTGCATTGTCACAGAACCATGGAAAAGGTGTATGGTTTAGGGACAGTCTTGCATTGTCACAGAACCATGGAAAAGGTGTATGGTTTAGGGACAGTCTTGAATTGTCACAGAACCATGGAAAAGGTGTATGGTTTAGGGACAGTCTTGCATTGTCACAGAACCTCAGGAAATTTAATTTGGGGGGGTGGGGCAGCTGATTTTATTTGTTGAACTTCAATTCAGTGTATTCACTAGTCAGTGAATATCATAAAAATGTACAAAATAGAAGGCACAGCATAACACCAAAACATCACAGAAAACACACTGCACAAACATTTTACTGCAATATAAATCAATCAATGTCTACAATGTAGCAAAAGTTTTTGCACTATTAACGTTTTGTTTAGGGAAGTGGGAAGGTCCAGATTTAAACAAAAAACTATGTTCTTTTATAGATATGTTTCGTTGACAATATTTACTTTATTATTTTAATTGAGATATATGTGGGTAGATGTTGTCCCATAGTTGACTAAATATAAATACCAAGCAACAAACAGTATCTATATCAAAAATAATTTTTAATAAATAATATTTCTTTAATAAAATTTCAATGAAAAGCTTGTATTTTTGTGTTGTCTTTTGATAGTGTGCTTTTATGCTGGCTACTCATACTAGATAAAACCACAGCTTTGTACGCTTTTTATTGTGTACACTATTGTTATTTAAGCTTCTGATGCTGTGAATTAAATAGAACTAAATAGCATGACCTCTATAATAATTGAAATCAGGACCCATTGCTATATATACTAGATCATTCTATTGTAGAAATGAGTGCTGACATGGATTGGTGGTCACACCTCGTACCACAGTTAAAATGGCTGTTTTTCCACTTTGTCTAAACAAATTACCTGATGACCTGTCCTGTGTGGCTAGTTTTTAAAGTTTCACTCTGCTAATAATACAACATATATATTTATGATTTTGTTTAAATATTCCATGCTCAAAAAGAGATATATGTATATATGCTGGATTTATCACTTGTTGGCTTAAAAAGAAGGTAACAAAATCAAATATTTGCGCTTAGGTAAATGTTCGTCATTCATTGATCCATGGATGTACTAAGAACATCCATGATTGATCATAGAAAACATCATGCACGTACATTGCAGCTAATGTGTCCAACTTTAAAGCATCAAGGAGGTGGTATACAACGTTCTTATGAACACGTAAAACTCCTACTTACAGCCACAAATACTGGGCCAAAGAGCAGCCTAACCTAGTTTACAAATGTAGTTCCATGGTGTAGTATGTAGGGTTAATTAGCATACAGATGAAAAAACTTTTCTACATTTCAAATAAAAAGTTTAATGACCGTGCATAACAACGATCGTTGTCTTGGTTGTTATTGTTTTTGTGGATTTTTAAATATATGGGGTTCTGATTCCGTTGACATTAATTGACACTAGTGACTTACAGGTGTAATCTTTGGAAAATGTCAGTGTGCCTTAGATAGACTGTGCATCTTGCATAAAGGAGGAAGTGTACCATTATATGCAGTGGGACTGCAGTTTCATATTTATTTTGTCGATTCTTTGCAGGCCATGTAATCATGGATACTGGATGAAGTTTGCAGTGCAAGTGGCCAAATTGACAATGAGCTACTATATATGTCATTTTCCGCCAATGGAGTAACTACAAAATCTGCCATGGCGTCTGCAAGTGACTATGAACAGCTAAGGGCCACCTTACAAAGGGGCTTAGACAATTTGGTATTGTCCAACAACCACAAACAGTTACCACTAAGGAAACAAACACACAGACCTATGTTGAAGTACAATACAAGTGTTTCCAGTAGTAGTCCTCAACCATTGATGGTGAACGGTAACGATGATGTCAGTACCGATATCTCTCCTAAAGCCACACGTGTGCACTCAAGACCGGCGAGTGCTAAAGATATTAGAAGTCCCAAGCCTCCTCTAATTATACGATCTTCCAACTCAACTGGCAATATCAGTAATATAAATAGCAGTAATCCTGTACATAGTAAATCTTTTATGAAGCCAAAGACCCCAGCGCATGTTCTTTCAAGAACCAGTGCTGACAGAGAAAGGACTAGATACACAACAAATAATAAACCTCTAAGTGCCAAGAAAACAAGTAAACAGGTCACCATGCAATTGCCAAATAAGACCCCAAACTTGAAGAATTCTAAACCCACCTATAAAGGCCATGAGAACGGTGTTAGACAGAATGCTGATGGCGCATGTAAGAAAGGACGAGTTAGAGACAAGTCTTATGACAATGAAGAATGGAGTGACGTAGACGAACATGAAGAGTTTGATGAAGACTTAACCAGGTAAGATAAGGTGCACTTCGTTGGTGGTGTACACGTGTTGAATCTATGTGTGATTGACACAGCATTCGTTATTAATTTATACATGTTTGTTCCAGTGAGCGTTCTCCCGGTGATGGCTCATCGTTTATCTATGAAGATGATGGTGATGAAGACGATGGGATAGATGGATTAGATGATGATTTACCAGATGGGGGTGAGTTATCTAATTAGTAATCATGTCTCTTAATCTTATTCATTTTATTTCCCCTTAAGATAGCACATGGTGAACTATAGTTGTCATTTGCATAATTTGCCTACTCCCTAAAAAAATTATCCCTGGAGCTGAGTGCCCTGGGTGCTTAGTTGCAGAAGCATGGCATTATTAATAAGTGGCTAAACAATAAAAAATGCTTTACTCATATATGGTAGTTACAAAATAGTTGCTCCATGAGCAGTTTGGCTTGAAGTTTATTCAACCTAGAGGTTTCATTACTCCTACCACATGTCTAGACCACAGATTGTGATATATGTTGCATTATACAATGCCTATAGTTGTTCCTACTCAACTGAAGTGTTTGTGGAGTAGTGATCACCTCCGTCTCTGTCTCATTATTATTTTTAGTCACAAATGTGTTTATAATCCATAGAAGCAATGCAATGCTGTGCCTACCTGATTTATGTGAATACCACAGATTAAGTTGATTCACAGGATTTTTCAACGTTGTGAATTTTCTGACACTTTATATGAAAACTATATCTAGAGTGAAAATGAAATGACGTGGTTATGCATAGTGAAACAAATATTTCAAATCATAAAGAATATGCATAGAATTTGAATACAAGTGAATGTACCGGTAATATACTTCTTTACCACTTTCTATCCACTTCTGATGTTAAATAGTGCTCTCGAGTTTTTAACACACATGACAGTAGCAATATTTTGTATCAAATTCTGTCTACAATTATTCGTTTTAGTATGAGTCAACAGTGTCTGAACTTGTTTGGTTCACTGTCAATCTGTTTTTTGAGAAACAATAATATGCATAAAATGCCCTTTTTTCAGCTGTTTCCATAGACCGCAATGGAAACACATTTCCTTGATAAAAACTTACTAAAAATATTGTCAATTTTTTAATACTTCTAGACATCATAAAGTACCTTGTATATCCGGTATATCTTTTTTTCCACCATATGTCGCTCACTGGGCAAAATTTTGAGATAAATCCGATTCATAGGGAACATTGGTAAACATTCTTAAATAGACAAAACATGCTATTTTTAATCGATTTTGCACATCAATTTCCTCTGAGTACAGTGACACATATTTTTATTACATTTTCTTTATCCTCATGACATTAAATATCTGATACGTAAAAATGAAGAAAATGGTCGCTTCAATTCGCTTTGAAATGGACACCATGCTCTTTGACTATTGCTCAATCACTCTCCATTTGATGCCAACTTCAAATCCTCTTGACTAATTTGGCCATAAATGTTGACACAACTCGCATAGATATATGTTCATCATAATTTCATTACAATATGTATATTCAGCAGTTATAATAACTGTTTTTTGCCTGGAAATCCTTGCAAATTAATTTTCCATGACACTTGAAATGAATCTTCTTCATCTGCTTTCCCATTCTTCTTTCAGACGATTCTGATGGGTACTCTACAGCGAGCACCTTGTCACGGAATTCCTCGGCCCTGCTCTATTCCGGTCGTCATTCAGCAAAAAAATTTACAGCCGAAAAACTAGACTCTATAGCCAACGAAATTGACAGAACATCTATTGGATCGCGAGCGTCAATGAGATTATATCAACCAGTTGTTGTAGATGGAGATGAGATACAACCAGCTCTCACACCAAGTCTTTTTAGTAATACACCTCCAACTATTAATTTTATAACTCAATATGAAAAGGGTAAGTATGGTAGTCATTATTTCTATCTAGCACCCTCTTGTGGCAAAAAAGAGAAATTACATTTCGGATTATGGCATTGCGGTTCATAATATTGTGGTGTTATGCTCATATGTCGCAATATTAAAGTATTATAGGAATTCACATCACAGTGTTGTTTGAATATAACATACTTATTTACTCTGTTACATGTAGTAGCTCATATAAATGTCTATGGTGTGTCTATGTTCAAAATAAGTCATACTTCAATAATAAGGCATATAATGAATGACTTTTTTGGTTTATGTACACATCTACCGGTAATAGTGATGCACCTGAAATACTATATCAGCTACTGAATCAAAAATTCACAATTTAAGGCTGTATTGTCAGCAACATTTGGTTTGAAACCTTTGACATGTTAATACGCATACGGTATTTGCTATATATCCACATCATGGACAGCCTGACATCACCAGTTCATAGTTGAACATCTCTGAACAGTTCCTCCTAGGATTTGATTGTGATCAGCATTTAGGTAGTCATTGAATGGCATGTGGGATTCTCTGTTCAACGGTCAAGGATGCACTATATTATAAAACTAATATTTGAAATATTTTTCTTTAACCTTTTCACCACTAGACTTCCTTGGCCAAATTTGCCTCCACTTTTTTCTTATGTTCTTCAATATTTCTGGAAATGGGTCAATGTTCAGTTTTTACTCAAAAAATTTGGCTATTTTTGTTCCAATCTTTTGAAAGAAATTGCAGACTGTATACTGGACTATTCTATGATTTTGTTATGAAAAGAGGGAACTGGTAGTGAAAAGAATAAGATTAGTTTGAGATGTAGATTGGACACTTGAATTCTTTCTATTAGAGATCCCCCTTTCAATTTTATAGCACAACTATTTTACTCATGTTATTCCTGCGTCTGGATATCATACATTAATGCTTCATAGGTTAGTTGTGTTTGGCACTCACCCAAAATCAGAATTCAAACTGCAATGCATGATGGGATTTATTGTAGTGAAGACAATAAATTACCTAAATTTCTCAATATGCCAAATTTCGATCAATATAATGATTCCCCAAAATTTAAAGGACTTTATTGTTGACAGTAACATTTTAGTAAGTACAATTTGTTTGGGTAGAACAAATTCTGTTGTATCTGAAGCAGTAATATATGTGCAGCACACTATTAGATAATGAATAGCGTCTATTTATAGTGGTACCCTCAACCAGCATAAACATTACTATTTTGTATCACCAGGACTTTGATGCTAGGATTTGTCTCAGGGATTTAAAGACCATCCACCTGTGTGTTACATAGTGATATTAATAAAATTGAAAAGAAACAACAATTACGTGGGACTTGTTTATTATTGCTAGAATTTAAATTTTACTATAAACAGAAACTCAGTGCATAACTTATTCAGAATTTCTTCTGTTCAAGGCTTAAGGAACAATTTTCATAGATTGCTTATTTATTCCTCGAACAGCAAACAAATTCCAATAAATATTTAACATTTACAAATAAGAACACTTCCACATGTATTTTCTATTTGTACAAACCAGTTAAACTTTTTAATATAATAGTAACCATTCAAATCAAATTATCCATATTTTATATGGTTCACCTACGTGTATGTTTGCTGGGTAAATATGATTCTAATTGTTATTATTTCAGTTGCGCAGTTACCATGGGAGCTACGTAAATTATTGAAATGGCGAATGAGTCCAATAACGCCGCATGTTGTGAAGAACTGCATTGCAAGGTCAGGATTCAGAGCAACAAAAAGTAAGTTTGAAGTACCGGTAGTTACCTATTATTCTGTAGAATTCTTTACAGCGACAATGTGAGATAATATTAATAAGGTTATCACCAAATATAACTTGTGTGTATAACTAGCTGATACAAGTGATGTCATGGACTAGTATTATTTACAAAGTATATCAACCAGCTTTATAAACAGGTGATAACTTGTTTATCACATGACCAACTCAGAGTGTCTAAACAACAAATAGATCGTGATTTTATGGAACTACATTTTTAGCTCCGCTGTTGACTTTGTCGAGCGGAGCTTATCATATGAGTGATTGTCTGTCTTCAGTGTCCGTCGTCGTCCGTGTCAATGTTTTACGTTTTCAACTTCTTCTTGAAAACTACAAGCCTGAATGCTTTGATACTTGGTGTATATGTACCTCTCTTAGATTTGTTCATTACATGATGATATCTTCAATTTTCTAATTTTGGTGAATATTTTTGTCATTTTTGGAAAAAAGTGATATTTTCGACTTCTTGTTAAAAACCGCGAGGCCAATTACTTTGATATTACATATATAGGTACTACATGTGGACCTCTCTCAAATTTGTTCATTTTGTAATGATATCTTTAATTCTCTAATTTTGTAATTTTTGGTAAAAAGTGATATTTTCGACTTCTCGTTAAAAACCGCAAGTCCAATTGCTTTGATATTACATATATAGGTACTACATGTGGACCTCTCTCAGATTTGTTCATTTCATGATGATATCTTTAATTTTCCAATTTTGGTGAATATTTTTGTCATTTTTTCCCATTGCATTGATACTGTGCATATTGTTCATTTTCTAATGATATCTTCTGTTCTTTATTTGAAATGTGCATTACTAACAGCGGAGCTATCTCAGCCGAGAGGCTGCTTGTTTTTTTAAATTTTTTTTTCACAAATGCAATAAAATGATCAAATTGAGAATTGTTAGCAGTTTACAGAGTCCTGTGGAATTAAGGATTCCGTAACAAGGGAGTTAATAACTATTGTTGTTTATTTCCTATGTAATCATATTAATACTTGTGGAGCACTTCAAATATGGAATTTTTTTTTTTTTTATTGCTGTTGTACTATTCAGAAATATTATTCTCATTTTTCCCTTCTGACAGCAGCATTGGATGATATTGAGAACTGTAACCCCTATTATGATGAGGGTAACTTAATGTTTTATGGTTTGCATGGGTTTCACTTTGTTCTTATTTGTAACCCAATCATCACAGCTCCCCTCTCAGGGCACATCCTGCAAATTTTGATACCACACCTCCTACACTTTTTCCCGATCAATGTCACATGAACACGTATCCCAATTTCACCTGTCACAAAAATTTGTTTCCCATTTTGTGGTTTAACCAGAGTGTCATTTTATCGATTAGAGACGAATGTGCTGTTATTTTGATCTTTTCTTTTATTTACAGAGTCACATGACTGGTTGGGGTACTGGGGCAAACACATGAAAGCCATCGGGTTCAAAGCAGTACGGGAGTATCAAAAGGTGAGATTGACATAGAGGGCGCTGCCTATCAAGCTGGCTTCTTGGATCTTGCAAGTAATACTGTATGCAGTTCTAAATGTGTGCAATGTTGGCGTTCTCCTGTTTAAAATTGGCCTCAATGTTTTTATGAAAATTAAACTTGCATGCTAGAATCTAACAACTCATATTATGTGCTGAAGGGATACTGTTGTTAACACATACTGCAGCGAGCATAAACATAATGGAGCAAAATTTGGTACTAGACTTTGTTTATACCTACGTAGTACTGTGTGATCTTCAGACAGTCGTTTCTAGTTTTCTTAACTTTGCCATTTGTCTTAATCTATCTTTTCCTAGGTCAACCATTTTCCAGGTTCCTTTCAAATAGGCAGGAAAGATCGTCTGTGGCGAAACTTGTCCAGAATGCAGGTTCATTTTGGTAAGAAGGAATTTGGTTTCTTTCCACAAACGTTTGTGCTGCCGTATGATATAAAATTGTTGAAAAGGGCCTGGGAAGATGGTGGTACGAAGCAGAAGTGGATTCTAAAACCGGTAAGACATTGATTTTTTTTCTACCCGTCTATGTATATGAGATAGAATAACCAGAACTGTATTTGCACTATTTAGTAGTTGTATGTACATGACATGTGTCTGTGGTGAAAATCATTTATCAAAATCGTAACATCATTTATTTTTTACTGGCGTTTATTTTCACTCCACTGAGTTCTATCACATGTTCTTGTGGATTCAATTCAGCAGATTTTACTTACTATAAAATACTTTATTTTCGCTTGGAATTAATTTTCGCTATTTTTGTTGAAGGAATATTTCAGTGAAAATAAAATCCAGCGAATATGCCTTTTTTCCTATATTTTACATTCAACTTGTTAAAAATCAGTGAAAATAAATTCCATACAAAACACCCAAAAAGTCCTTTCAGCAAATTTTATTCCAGCTAAAATAAAGTATTCTACAGTATCAGTGTAAATAGGAAATTAAAATGAATAATTAATGCATTTACAGTAGGTCATATTTTTAATGATCTATAATACAATTCATGCAACTGTTAGCATCTGTAAGTCCCATCTCAATACAAACCTGCCAAGCAACCAATGGCTACAGATAGTTTGAAATGCACGAGCATCACATTTCAAAATATCACCAAACCAATATTGCTCTACTGCCAACATAACACTTTTAATTGATGGTAAACCAAAATATTCATATTTATGCTATAACTGAATACACACAATTAGCCAGCACTGCATTCCCAGTTTTTTTTATTTATTGGGTTGAAAGTGTGAGGTACTGTAAAAATGATTAATTTTTTGCGAGTGAAAAATTCTCGTCAGTCTACAATTTTGTGTCAGTGAAAATATTTTTGTTGACTCATGACTGAAGTTTTGTTTTCGTGAATACCATAAAATTATCAATTAATGCCAAATTCTAACCACAAAAAATATGCAGTTCATAGTATACACCCTGTTTGCTGTTCAACTCATACTTAATGTTCGTATCGTGTATGTTTATTTGTACAGCCAGCATCAGCACGTGGTATTGGTATTAAAGTCATACATAAATGGAGTCAAATACCAAGACGTAGACCAGTGTTAGTGCAGAGATACCTCTCAAAACCATTTCTTATTAATGGTAGTAAGTTTGATTTACGTATCTATGTATACGTAACCAACTATGATCCCCTACGTGTCTATGTCTTTGAAGATGGTTTGGTGAGATTTGCAACAATGAAGTAAGTTGGATTGTTTTATGTTGATCATTGCACCCTTAAAGTTTTATGTTTAATATTAGACTCTGTTATTGTAAGTCAAAAGAAACCCATAAAAACTGGGTTTCTTTCTCCTCCAGTGATGACACACAAATCCACAGAATGTCTAAAAAAATACTATCTCCTGAATTAAAAAATAATATATATTAAACACAAAGACAAAATTAATATCTAAACAATTCCCTCATAATATCTTGTCATGAAGTACTTTTAAATTACTTTATGTTTTATTTTTGTATTAACCATAATAATTAAAATCAAAGTTATTTTGTTCTCGTCCTCTGAAAAAATTATTGTAAGTTAAAGTTGTATTGTCAGTAAAACTTAGTGGAATGCCCTTTCAATTTTAATTATTAAATCAAATCTAAAAGTTATGGTGTACACAAGTTGTACTGATCGAAACATTGCACCGTTTATCGGCGAAGTTGTCTTCTCAACAATAAATCCTGTCATGCACACTGTTTTGAATTTTGCTTCAGGTGCCCACTAAATATAACTTACTCAGGAAGCATGTGATGTTTTAGTGTTTGCACAGACACATTGGTGACATGAGTATTAAAATAAAATAGTTGTTCTATAAATGAAAATAGAGAGGCCTTAAGGCTATACAGGAAACTACTCAAGCACCTAGTATGTACATCTCGTACTAATCTCAATGAAAAATGCTTCCCATCAAATAATTATATTGTAATATAGTGATTAGTCTGTCTTCTAACAATGAATCCTCTATGTGATTCAGTGAGTGGATAAACTAAGACTGTAAAAAATCAATCTTGTGAATCCCGTAACTGTTGTACCGGTATATATTACCGGGATAATATGCATATTACTTATTATTATATATCTGTGACCGCAACACCATAAGTTACAGCGTGCTGTAATTTTGCCGTATTTTACGGGGTATTTTAATCCTACCATATAGGGAAATGCGAATTCCGAACATGAATTGATTACACACATAAGCGTCCTCTAATAATAAAAACAAACATGGCTGCCACCTGGGTTTGGCCGGACTCCGTACAAAGAAGTTTGCTGATTTTGTTACTTTGAGGTATCCTTGTAATAACCTCATATTATTAAATGCTGACAATACAACTTCAATAGTATCATGATATGTATAGAGGTGCATTCCTGGTGGTTTCCTGATAGACCAAATCCTGTGCTAGCATTCCTGTGTAAGGAGTTCTTATGAAAGTACACAGGAACTGGACATTTATGTGTATCTGTGTATCTTGAAGGCCTCCAAACTAATTGAATTAATAAACATTGTCTCTGAATTAATGAATAATAATAATATCTTTTTGTTTTTCTCTAGGTACTCCTCTTCTATGAAAAGCTTAAGTAATAAATTCATGCATCTCACCAATTATAGTATAAATAAGAAGAACTCAGAATTTACTCCAAACGATGATGAAACTGTTTGTCAAGGACATAAATGGTATGTAATAATGGAATGGATTGAGTATGTAAGTATGTATGCAAGTTAATAAGTACATATGTGAGTGAATATGTATGTAAGTATGTATGTGAGTGAATAAGTATGTAAATATGTACGTGAGTGAATAGGTACATGTATGTAAATATGTATGCGAGTGAATGTAAGTATGTATGTGAGTGAATAAGTATGTACATATGTATGAGAGTGAGTGTAAGTATGTATTATGTGAATAAGCATGTAAATATGTACGCAAGTGAATAGGTACATGTATGTAAATATGTATGTGACTGAATGTAAGTACCGGTATGTATGTGAGTGAATAAGTATGTAAATATGTATGCGAGTGAATGTAAGTATGTATTTGAGTGAATAAGTATGTAAATATGTATGTGAGTGAATGTAAGTATGTATGTGAGTAAATATGTATGTGAGTGAATAAGTATGTAAATATGTATGTGAGTGAATGTAAGTATGTATGTGAGTAAATAAGTATGTATGTGAATGAATAAGTATGTAAATATGTATGCGAGTGAATGTAAGTATGTATGTAAGTAGATAAGTATGTAAGTATGTTTGCGAGTGAATAAGTCTGTAAGTCAAATTACTGTATATGTTGCATGTACATGTATTATACTACATTTGTTTGGACTTAAACGACATTCCATGATTATTGACACATCTCTACATTTGAGTAGATATCCTACATGTGTACATGTTACTATCAGTAGATGTAATTATCAGTTGATATTACTATTCTTAATTTTCTTACCAGGTCATTGAAAGCTTTATGGGGATATATGCGCAAGAATGATATTGATTCGAATAAAGTATGGGATAGCATTAAAGATATTGTCATCAAAACTATCATAAGGTAACACTAAAAGTTTATTGCTGTGAAAAAAGTGTATACTACTAGATTACACTGTAAAAAAGACCTTAAAATAGATTGCTTTTTTTTATGAGTGTGATGAGATTTAGTATTGTATAAGGAATTAATATTCCTATTGTGTTCTGTTGAATTCCTGTCAGTCAATTTTAGCTGAAGGCAGTGATTTGTCTTTTTATAAGGAGCTTTTATTTCTGTTGTGTTTAAAATAGTACTCATTTCTATCTCTATCTTGGCTCCACTCAATGTTTTTGTCATTATTTACTGATTTTGCTAAGTTTAGATTTGTTCAGTTGATACCCGGCTCAAACCCATGCTGTAGATCCTTTTCAGTAACTTCAACCATGACAACTTATTACTAACTATGTAGGTAGACATGTGTTATTGTATTTTAGCTCAAAAAGAATTGTGATTGCACTTCACTTTTTTTTTTTCCATTTATCGTTTGAATTTGGGTTTACAAGTAGTCTTGGTTGCCATGGTATGATCACATGCGATCTCCTTATCTTACAGTTACTGTAAAATACTTTATTTTCACTGAAAAGACTTTTGGGGTGTTTTGTATGGAATTTATTTTCACTGATTTTTGACAAGTTGAATAAAAAATATAGGAAAAAAGGTATATTTGTGAAATTTTATTTTCAATGAATCATTCCTTTAGTGAAAATTCATTCCAAGCAAAAAATAAAGTATTTTACAGTAGTTATAAATTCGCCCAATTTGTTGAAATCAACTTATTGTTTTATATCAGTTCTGAGGCAGCAGTTAACAGCTTGGTGAAATCTAATGTTCGAAGGCGTTACTGTTGTCATGAATTATTCGGCTTTGATGTCATGTTAGACGACAACCTAAAACCATGGATTATTGAAGTCAATATCTCTCCTAGGTAAGACGTGTTTGAAATGACGTGTTCACATGTCATTTTGTTTTAGCAACCCGATGTGGCATGTGCTAGACCAGAAAGTGGCCATGATGCTTATAATATTGGTTCTCCATGTGCTTCCAATGAATGTATTTCTTTGACATGCTTTGGTCAAAATTAACACAAAGTCAAAACATGAAATAATGGTATACTTAGGCATATGAGTTTGTTTTTGATTCAATGTGACTGGACTGACTGGCATTAATTTTTCTTTCAACAAACCACAATATACCTCAAAATGTCATTATCTGCAAATTTAATTCAAACATGGACATTTTGATAACATTTTCACACGAAATGCACATAATATCTATTTACTGATTCAGAAATAATCTGCTTGAGTTTGTATTTTGCTCATTCCGTTTTTTTTTTCTCTCACATTATTGTTCCAACAGCTTACACTCCAATTCTTCATTAGATGTTAATATCAAAGGTCAAATGATCAAAGATTTACTCAACTTAGCTGGTTTCCAACTGCCTGATAAGAGAGACATCTATCCACATGTGCCACCTACAAGTTCTGCGATAAGGTACACATCCAAACCTACTTAAATATTGCCACTTGAAATCTTCAGGAAATCTTCAATATGAACGACGTCAGCTGGTGTGTTAAACTAAACCTCTTCTTTAGTTCCTGTCCTATTACTTTGTTTCTGAAAAAGGTCCCAGAATCTTGTTCAGTGTTGTTGGTTCATGTCTAGTATATACACTACAGTACATGGTGTAACTTGAACACAAATTTTAAGAAATCTTCACCAGTCATGTAAATAATTCCCTGATATTCAATGGTATATTTAACAATTCTTTTCAGCATCATACATACAATACTAGGAATAAAAATAATTTAAACCAATCTATATCCTAAAAAAAGCATATTTTTACTATTTTTGGCCCAGAACTATGGAATGTACTCAGTGAATCAATCAATCAATCAATCAAGATCAAACAAAGTATGCATTTAGGTCAGCTTACAAAACCTTCTTCTTAAAATCAGTATCCTACTCTTCTGATTTAGTGTCCAGGCTACTCGGTTCACAATTATGTTTCTAGTAGGGTGGGCGCTTAGCCGAGCACCCACTCAAAAAAATGGCCAAAAGACAATTTACATTCACCTTGTGGTAGATTTGGGGGAATAGTACGCCTTTTATTTAGATTCTTTTTTGTCAGCCTTTATTTTGTTATTTCCAACTTTTTTTTTGAAATACAAGACCTTGATGTTTTTTTCACTTTCCCCCACTCGACAGTTTGGATGATAAGAATCTTTCAATGTAACCATTTAAACACATGTGCCTTGATAATACAGCAGCATTTAACTTGAATGTATGAGTGAAAATAAATTGAATAGTTTTTAAACCTACCGGTAATAATAAAACCAGCATCATCAATATCAAATCATTACAAAATATTGTACTATTGTGTTTTCTTTTTTACTTTCTATACAATATATATGTATTTAAACATGAATCATATCACCCGTTATAAGTTTGTAAATATTCTACTTTCTTCCATAACAGCACGGAATATAGGTGTGTATTTACAGACAAGAAACTGTGGAATGTTCCAGTCAGTAAAGATGAGCGTGCCAAACATGCTTTCTATATTCAGAAACACCTTGATGATGTAAGTAATTTATTTCTATTCTATCTGCATCTTGTGATCCAGTTGATTACTGTCTACTAGAAACATAGCGACATTGATTGATATTTCCAGCAAGAATATCATTCATTATGAGCAGTAGTTCACAGGATGATCTTCGTCACCAATGACGAATTATTATCAAATTATTCTGTAAAAAACAGGTCACACTTACATGTAAACTATTTTACATTTTCTGATGGAAGCCCAGACAGTGTTAGAGGCTGCAGAGAAAAGTTGTGAATTCAACAACATGAATGGATGTGTTTTCAATTTGATTGTAGAAAATGCCTCCAAACATGCATTTCTTTATGCATTTATTATTTGTGGAGTGAGATATGATTTTCCATTGTGAGCTGAATTCTATTCTTGT